ACAGGAAAATTGGTGGGTGCTCTGCACACACCGGCAGCTTGCCCCCCGCCCCCCAGCTCACCTCCGCCTCCTCCCCTGAATGCACCATATCCCGCTTTTCCCCCAGCTCCCAGCGCTTGCATCATGAAACAGCTATTTAGCGGCAGCAAATGCTGGGAGGGAAGGGGGAGGAGGAGGAACGCGGCGCGCTCCAGGGAGGAGACTGGGCTGGGGCAGAGATTTGAGGAAGGAGTCCAAAAGGGGCAGGGAAGGGGAGGAGTTGGGGCGGGGACTTTGGGGAAGGGGTTGAATGGGGGCGGGGCAGGGGCAGGAGGGGGTGGGGGGGGGGGTGGAGTCGGGGCAGGGCCGGGGGGCAGGGCAGGAAGCAAGCACCCACTGGCGCAGGAAAAAGTTGGCACCTATGCATGTGTGTCGGTGCTACTGACGGATAACACTGCAGCGATGTTCTATATAAACAAACAGGGTGGTGCTCGCTCCTTTCCCCTGTACCAGGAAGCCCTCGAGCTGTGGGATTTTTGCATTGCCCACTCGATACACCTAGAGGCATCGCATCTTCCAGGAGCCCAAAATGAGCTAGCTGATCATCTCAGCCGCTCGTTTTATGGTCATGAATGGTACCTCAGGCCGGACATAGTGCACTCGATTTTCCAGAGGTGGGGCTCTCCCTACATAGACCTGTTCTCCACACAGAGCAACTGGAAGTGCTAGCGATTCTGCTCTTTCCTGAACCACAGCCCAGGCTCCATTGCGGACGCCTTTCAGCTTTCATGGACGAGTCACCCATTGTACACGTTCCCGCCCTTCCCTCTCATACACAAAGTCCTCTTCAAGACTCGCTGGGACAGGGCTTCCTTGATCCTCATAGCACCAGCGTGGCCCTGCCAGCACTGGTTCACCATGTTGAGGAACCTCTCAGTGGAGAGACCAGTAGCACTTCCTGTGTGCCCGACCCTAATCACACAGGACCATGGCTGTCTGCAACACCCCAATCTGGAGTCCCTCCTCCTCATGGCGTGGAAACTCGATGGCTGACCCCTCTTGAGCTTCAGTGTTCAGACCCAGTGAGAGAGGTCCTATTGGGAAATAGGAAACCCTCCACTCATGCCAGGTACCTGGCAAAGTGGAAGCGTTTTTCCATCTGGTCTCTGCAGAGGGGAACCGAACTGCAGCTAGTGCCAATTCTCCTTATTTTGGACTACCTGTTATACCTTAAGCAGCAGGGGCTGGCAATATCATCTCTCAGGGTATACCTGGCTGCCATTTCGGCCTTTCACCCAGGGGCAGCAGGTAGGTCAGTCTTCGGTAATCCCATGGTGGGCAGGTTTCTCAAGGGCTTGGACAGATTTTATCCCCAGGTATAACGGCCTGTTCCCCAGTGGGATCTCAGCCAGGTCCTGTCTGCATTCATGGGGCCCCCTTTTGAGCCCATGGCAACCTGCCCTCTTTCTTACCTTTCCTGGAAGGTGGTCTTTCTGGTGGCCATAACCTTGGCCAGAAGGGTATTCGAGCTCAGAGTGCTGACTTCCAAGCCCCTCTATATGGTCTTTTATAAAGACAAGGTGCAGCTATGCCCTCACCCTGCATTTCTGCCAAAGGTAGTCTCCCAGTTTCATGTGAACCAAGACATAGTTTTACCTGTGTTCTTCTCTAAGCCCCATGCCAATAACAGAATGCATGTTTCATTCCCTGGATGTTAGGCGTGCCCTAGCATTCTACATTGGGCACACAAAGCCATTTCGTAAGTCACCACAGCTCTTTATTGCAATTGCAGAAAGGATGAGGAGGCTCCCGATCTCATCCCAGTGCATTTCATCATGGATCACATCCTGTATCAGGACTTGCTACAACCTGGCAAAAATTCCAGCCCTTCCGCTTACGGCACACTCCATGAGAATGCAGGTCTCATCTACAGCATTCCTGGTGCAGGTCCCTATCCAGGACATAGGCAAGGCAGCAACATGGTCTTCCATCCACACCTTCACGTCACACTATGCCATTACCCAACAGACAAGGGACGATGCAATACCTGCCAGCCTGATAGGCCAGGAGCTACAAAGGCTGGGAAGGAGAGGGAGGGAAAAAGCAAAAGCAAGCAGAAGTCCTCGAGTTGGTTACTGCCCAGCCTATGGTAGGTGAGAAACATATAAGGATTGTATATAGTTAGACGCTGGTGGTGGGGAAAAAGCTTAAAGAATAAAGGACACAGGTGTTGCACAGAGCTGAAGTCCCCCTGGACTTATTTGTGAGGGCAGTCAGGCCCAGAAGAAGAGGGGCTGGCCCATGACACACTACTACAGCCTAACCAGCTATCCCCCATTTTATATTTGTGCATTTGATTTTTTTTCCTTCTTAAGTGTAATGCTTTGCACTTGTCTTGATTGAATTTCATCTTGTTAGTTTTAGACCAATTTGTCAAGGTTATTTTGAATCCTGTCCTCCGAAGTGTTTGCAACTTACAAATTGGTATCCTCCACAAATTTTATAAGCATACTTCCACTCCATTGTAAAAGTCATTAATGAAAATGTTGAATAGTACTGGACTCAGGACAGACTCCCTGGGAGATGCCCTAGATATGTCCTCCCAGTTTGAATGAAAACCATTAACTACTTTTTGAATATGGGCTTTCAATCCACCTTACGGTAGTTTTATCTAGACCAGTAGTTCCCAAACTGTGGGTCATGCCCCCTAGTGGGTAATGGAGGAACATTCGGGAGCGTGTGGCAAGGCCCAGGCTAGCCCCCAAGGGGAAAGAGGACACCATCCAATCCTGCTCTATTCCCTAGTTCTCCTCCTGCTCCACTCCTTGCCCCACCCCAAGCTGCGGCCCCTGCCTCATCCCCTGGCTCCCAGCCTGGCCACAGCTCTGTACCTGGGTGTGGCCCTGCCTGCTGGCCCGGCTGTGCCTTCACTCCTGGCCATAGACACAGCTCCAGCCCTGCCACCAGCCTTGGGCCCCAACTGCAGCCCAGCTGCAGCCCCAGCCCTGTTCCCAGCTGTGGCTCTGGCTCCTAGCCCAGCCACAGCTCCAGCCTCAGCCCCTGGCCCCAATTGTGGCCCAGCTCCCAGCCATGGCTCCAGCCACAACCGTGGTCTGGTTCCTAACCCCAGCTCAGGGGCTGGGAGTAGAGGGGTGTGGAGTGGGGTAAGGAGGTCATGAGGTAAAAAGTTTGGGGACCACTGATCTAGACTATATTTCCTTAGTTTGCTTATGAAATTGTCCTGTGGGATTGTGTCGAAAGCCTTACTAAAATCTAGATATATCAAGTCAATAGCTCCCCACCACCCATTAGGCCAATAGCCTTATCAAAGAAGGGAATAAGGTTGGTTTGGCATGATTTATTCTTGAAAAATCCATGTTGACTATTACTTATAACCCTATTATTTTCAAGGTGCTTACAAATTGATTAATATTTTGTACCAGTATCTTTCCAGGTATTGAAGTTAGGCTAACTGGTCTATAATTCCCCTGGTCTATAATTCCTAACTGGTCTATAAGTTCTCTTTGTTCCACTTTTTAAAGACAGGTTCTGTGTTTACCCTTTTCCAGTCCTCTGGACCCTCACGTATCCTCCATGAGCTTCAGGGATAATCACTAACAATTTCAAGAATGGATCAGCTAGTTCCTTACATGTCCTAAGCCTGGTCTATGCTACAGAATTAGCCCTGCTCTACACTACGAGTTTAGGTCAAATTTAGCAGTGTTAAGTCGATTTAACCCTGCACCCATCCACACGACCAAGCCTGTTTTCTCGACTTAAAGGGCTCTTAAAATCGATTTCTGTACTCCTCGCCGGTGAGGGGTTTAGCGCTAAAATCTACCTTGCTGGGTCAAATTTGGGGTAGTGTAGATGCAATTCGATGGTATTGACCTCTGGGAGCTATCCCAGAGTGCTTCATTGTGACCACTCTGGACAGCACTCTCAACTCAGATGCACTGGCCAGGTAGACAGGAAAAGCCCCAGGAACTTTTGAATTTCATTTCCTGTTTGGCCAGCGTGGCGAGCTGATCAGCACAGGTGACCATGCAGAGCTCATCAGCACAGGTGACCATGGAGTCCCAGAATCACAAAAGAGCTCCAGCATGGACCAAACAGGAGGTACTGGATCTGATTGCTGTATGGGAAGAAGAATCCATGCAGGCAGAACTCCGTTCCAAAGATGAAATGCCAATATATTTTGCCAAAATCTCCAAGGGCATGATGGACAGAGGCTACAACAGGAACACACAGCAGTGCCGTGTGAAAGTTAAGGAGCTGAGACAAGCCTACCAAAAAACAAAGGATGCAAACAGTTGCTCCGGGTTAGAGCCCCATACATGCCACTTCTATAATGAGCTGCATGCAATTCTAGGGGGGGCCCCTACCACTACCCCACCACTGTCCATGGACACCTGCAAGGGGGGAGTCTCACGCAACAGAGATGAGGATTTTGTGGATGAGGAAAATGAGGAGGAGGAGGTTGAGGATAGCGCACAGCAGGCAAGCGGAGAATCCCTTCTCTCCAGCAGCCAGGAACTGTTCATCACCCTGGAGCCAATACCCTCCCAACCCTTCCAAGGCAGGCTCCTTGACCATGAAGCCAGAGAAGGCACCTCTGGTGACTGTACCTTTGTAAATAGAATACAGGGTTTAAAAGCAAGAATGTTTAATGATTAATTTGCCCTGAAGACTTGGGATGCTTTTGTGGCCAGTATAGCTACTAGAAAAGTCTGTTAACGTGTCTGGGGATGGAGCGGAAATCCTCCAGAGACAGCTTCATGAAGCTCTCCTTGAGGTACTCTAAAAGCCTTTGTCATGCGGTGGGGGAGGCCTGTTCATGCTGAGCTGTTTGCGTTTGGCTGAGAGGGATCTTCCCTGACACTAGCCACGTGGTGGAGGGGAGGGGGTGAAGCACATGTGCTATGTAATGTGAATCGCTTGATTCAGTGTGAAATAGTCTTCCTTTTGTTCTCCAAAATGTATCTTTTTAAATACTACTCTCTCTTTTTTTCCTTCCACAGCTGCAAATGTTTCTATGCTCCACTATCATCTCCGTCCCAGAGGCTAGTGCAGATTAGAAGGCGATAAAAATGCACTTGTGATGACATGTTCTCATAGCTCATGCAGTCCTTCCACACTGAAAGAGCTCAGCAGAATGCATGGAGGCAAACAATGGCAGAGTCCAAAAAAGCATTACTGAACACGATGAGAGGAGGGAGGAACATGCTGAGAGGAGGAAGGATGCAGTGCTGAGCCTAATGGGGGAGCAAACTGACATGCTCTGGAGTCTGGTGGAGCTGCAGGAAAAGCAGCAGGAGCACAGACCACCGCTGCAGCCCCCGAATAACGTCTGTCCTCCTCTCCAAGTTCCATATCCTTTTCACCCAGACACCCAAGAACGCGGTGGGAGGCTACGGGCACCCAGCCACTCCACCCCAGAGGATTGCCCAAGCAACAGAAGGCTGGTATTCAATAAGTTTTGAATTGTAGTGTGACATTGTCCTTCCCTCCTCCCCTCATCCACCACCCCACCCGGTGCTTCCCTCCTCATGCACCCCTCCTGGGCTACCTTGCAAGTTTTCCCCCTATTTGTGTGATGAAATAATAAAGAATGCATGATTTTGAAACAATAATGACTTTATTGCCTCTGAAAGCGGTGATTGAAAGGGGGAGGTTGGTTGGCTTACAGAGAAGTAGAGTCAACCAAGGGGGCGGGTTTTCATCAAGGAGAAACAAACAGAACTGTCACATCATAGCCTGGCCAGTCATGAAACTGATTTTCAAAGCTTCTCTGATGCACAGCGCACCCAGCTGTGCTCTTCTAATCGCCCTGGTGTCTGGCTGTGCGTAATCTGCCGCCAGGCAATTTGCCTCAACCTCCCTCCCACCCTGCCATAAATGTCTCCCCCTTACTCTCACAGATATTGTGGAGCACACAGCAAGCAGCAATAACAATGGGAATATTGGTTTCACTGAGATCTAACCTAGTCAGTAAACTGCACCAGCGTGCTTTTAAACCTCCAAATGCACATTCTACCACCATTCTGCACTTGCTCAACCTATAGTTGAATTGCTCCTTACTACTGTCCAGGCTGCCTGTGTACTGCTTCAAGAGCCATGGCATTAAGGGGTAGGCTGGGTTCCCGAGGATAACTATAGGCATTTTAACATCCCCAACAGTAATTTTCTGGTCTGGGAAGTAAGTTCCTTCCTGCAGCTGTTCAAACAGACCAGAGTTCCTGAAGACACAAGTGTCATGCACCTATCCCGGCCATCCCACGTTGATGTCGGTGAAACATTCCTTGTGATCGACCAGTGCTTGCAGCACCATTGAAAAGGTACCCCTTGTGGTTTACATACTGGCTGCCAAGGTGGTCCGGTGCCAAGATAGGGATATGCGTTCCGTCTGTCGCCCCACCGCAGTTAGGGAACCCCATCACAGCAAAGCCATCCACAATGGCCTGCATATTTCCCGGAGTCACTACCCTTGATAGCAGCTGGTCAATGATTGCACTGGCTACTTGGATCACAGCAGCCCCCACAGTAGATTTGCCCACCCCAAATTGATTCGCAACTGACCGGTAGCTGTCAGGCATTGCAAGCTTCCAGAGGGCTATCGCCACTCGCTTCTCAGCTGTGAGGGCTGCTCTCATTTTGGTATCTTTGTGCTTCAGGGCAGGGGACAGCGAGTCACAAAGCTTCATGAAAGTGGCCTTACACATGCAAAAGTTTCGCAGCCACTAGGAATCATCCCAGACCTGCAACACTATACGGTCCCACCAGTCTGTGCTTGTTTCCCGGGCCCAGAATTGGCGTTCCATGGCATGAACCTGCCCCATTACCACCATGATGTCCAAATTGCCAAGGCCCGTGCTTTGAGAGAAGTCTATGTCCATGTCCTGATCACTATCGTGATCGCGCTGTCATCGCCTTCTCGCCTGCTTTTGCAGGTTCTGCACATACTGCAGGATAATGTGCAAGGTGTTTATAATGCTCACAACAGCAGCGGTGAGCTGAGCAGGCTCCATGCTTGCCGTGGTATGTTGTCTTCAGGAGAGCAGGAGAACAGAGTTGCAGCGGAAGCGGTGGATGACGATGGATGCCATGAAAATAGATATTTATACAGAACGACGAGAGGACCTGCAAGGTGGATTCATGGCACCAGGAGAGCAGGAGAGCAGAGTTGCAGCAGACGCAGTGGATGATGACGGTTAGCAGTCCTACTGCACCGTCTGCTCACAGCAATATGGTATCTGCACGGGAGAAAAGGCACAAAATGATTGTCTGCCATTGCTTTCACAGAGGGGCGACTGACAACGTACCCAAAACCACCCGCAGCAATGTTTTTGCCCCATCAGGCATTGGGAGCTCAACCCAGAATTCCAATGGGCAGCGGAGACTGTGGGAACTGTGGGATAGCTACCCACAGTGCAATGTTCCAAAAGTTGATGCTAGCCACAGTACTGTGGACGCACTCCGCCGACTTGATGCGCTTAGTGGGGACACACCCAATCGACTGTATAAAATCGCTTCCTAAAAATCAACTTCTATAAATTCAACCTAATTTCGTAGTGTAGACATACCCTTAGGTCAGTATAAAGCAGCTACATTGATCTAGCTCTGTAAGCATCTACACTAAAATGTAACTCCCACTAATGTAACTTGCCCACGACACCGACTTAACTCCACTGCCCTGAGAGGCATAGCATTTAAATTGATGTAGTTAGGTCGACGCAGTGTCAATGTAAATACTGTGTTGCTTACATTGATTGTTGCTGCCTTTCAGAAACCATCCCACGATGCTCCACACTGCCAGTTAACTTGGTGCAAGTGCTTCTGGTGTGGACATGCACCACCAACACAAGAAGCATAGTGTGGATGTGTAAAACTGATTCAATAACTGAGGTGGCTGTATGTCAACGTAACTTAGGTGTATTCAAATTGGTAGGGCCTGACAAAATTCACCCTAAGGGCAAGTCTACACTACAAAATTAAATCAACCTAACTTATCTAAATATTCTTTAACTTGTTCTTTCCTATTCTGTTTTGTGTGTTTTCCCCTTGTTGATATTAATTGTGTTAAGAATCTGATCACATTTAACCTATTTAGTGAAGACTGAAGCAAAATAAGCATTAAACACCTCAGCCTTTTTGATGTCATCCATTATTAGCTCTTCTTCTGCACTAAGTAGTGTACTTACACTTCCCTTCATCTTTTTTTGTCTGCTAATGTATTTATAGAACCTCTTCTTATTGCCTTTTGTCCTTTGCTAGGTATAACTCATTTTGTGCCTTAGCCTTTCTGATTTTGTTCCTATATGTTTGCACTATTATTTTCTGTGTTTCCATTTTTTTGTAGGATTTCTTTTTGATTTTCAGGTCACTAAAGAGCTCCTGATGGAGAACTATTGGCCTCTTAGTATTCTTTCTATCTATCCTTTACATAAAGATAGCCTTTAATATTGTCTCTGAGAAACTCCTAGCTCTCCTGAACTCCTATTTCCCTTAGATTTTCTTCCTATGGGACCTTACCTACTAGTTCTCTGAGTTTGTAAATCTGTGTTTTTGAAGTCCATTGTTCTTATTCTGGTGTTCTCTCTCCTTCCTTTGCATAGAATCATGAAATCTATAATTTCATGGTCACTTTCACTCCAATTGCCTTCTACTCTCAGGGTACATCTACAGTACGAAATTATATTGAATTTATGTAAGTTGATTTTTTCGGAAGAGATTTTATTCAGTCGATCGTGTGTGTCCCCAATAAGTGCGTGAAGTTGGCGGAGTGCATCCACAATACCAAGGCTAGCATCGACTCTTGGAGCGGTGCACTGTGGGAAGCTATCCCACAGTTCCCGCAGTCTCCACCGCCCATTGGAATTCTGGGTTAAGCTCCCAATCCATGATGGGGCAAAAACAGTCTCACGGGTGTTTCTGGGTGCATGTCATCGGTCACCCCTCCCTCTGTGCAAGCTATGGCAAACAATCGTTTTGCGCCTTTTTTCTGCCATTGTCAACTGTACACCACCACTTCCGCTGCCACTCTGCTCTCCTGCTTTCCTGCAGCAGACGGTGCAGTAGGTCTGCAAAGCTCTGCTGTCCTGCAACTCATACAGAAGGCCTGAAAGCCATCGTAAACTGTACGCCGCTACTTCTGTGGCAACTCTGCTCTCCTGCTCTCCTTTGTTTCACACCTTTTCTCGTGGATTACCCGTGCAGTCGCCATAGCACGGCAATGCACCTTTCCCGGCCATCCCACGTTGATGTCGGTGAAACGTCCCTTGTGATCGACCAGTGCTTGCAGCACCATTGAAAAGGTACCCCTTGCGGTTTACGTACTGGCTGCCAAGGTGGTCCGGTGCCAAGATAGGGATATGCGTTCCGTCTATCACCCCACTGCAGTTAGGGAACCCCATCACAGCAAAGCCATCCACAATGGCCTGCACATTTCCCGGAGTCACTACCCTTGATAGCAGCTGGTCAATGATTGCATTGGCTACTTGGATCACAGCAGCCCCCACAGTAGATTTGCCTACCCCAAATTGATTCGCAACTGACCGGTAGCTGTCGGGCATTGCAAGCTTCCAGAGGGCTATCGCCACTCGCTTCTCAGCTGTGAGGGCTGCTCTCATTTTGGTATCTTTGTGCTTCAGGGCAGGGGACAGCGAGTCACAAAGTTTCATGAAAGTGGCCTTACGCATGCAAAAGTTTCGCAGCCACTAGGAATCATCCCAGACCTGCAACACTATACGGTCCCACCAGTCTGTGCTTGTTTCCCGGGCCCAGAATTGGCGTTCCACGGCATGAACCTTGCCCAACGCCACCATGATGTCCCAATCACCACATGCCATGCTTCTAGGAATGTCTCTGTCCATGTCCTTATCACTATCATAATCGCGCTGTCGTTGCTTCCTCGCCCAGTTTTGCAGGTTCTGCACATACTGCTGGATAATGTGTGAGGTATTTACAATGGTCACAACTGCAGCGGTGAGCTGAACGGGCTCCACGCATGACACTTTTGTCTTCAGGAACTCTGGTCTGTTTGAACAGCTGCAGGAAGGAACTTACTTCCCAGACCAGAAAATTACTGTTGGGGATGTTGAAATGCCTATAGTTATCCTCGGGGACCCAGCCTACCCCTTAATGCCATGGCTCATGAAGCAGTACACAGGCAGCCTGGAGAGTAGTAAGGAGCAGTTCAACTATAGGCTGAGCAAGTGCAGAATGGTGGTAGAATGTGCATTTGGCCATTTAAAAGCGCGCTAGCGTAGTTTACTGACTAGGTTAGATCTCAGCAAAACCAGTATTCAAATTGTAATTGCTGCTTGCTGTGTGTTCCACAATATCTGTGAGTAAGGGGGAGACATTTATGGCAGGGTGGGAGGTTGAGGCAAATTGCCTGGCGGCAGATTACGCACAGCCAGACACCAGGGCGATTAGAAGAGCACAGCAGGGTGTGCTGCGCATCAGAGAAGCTTTGAAAACCAGTTTCATGACTGCCCAGGCTACGGTGTGACAGTTCTGTTTGTTTCTCCTTGATGTTACCCGCCCCCTTTCTTGACTCTAATTGCCTGTAAGCCAATTTACAGGAAAAAATAAATTATTTC